CTTCAAAAAGCCAACCACCTACTTTTTCTTGTTTTAAATTTATTTCTAATTTTCAAATTTCTGCTTTTATATATCATTTCTGCCCCTATCTGCTTTTGTGGTGGTTGTTATCTTTTTGTAACTTTTTGAGATGGAGATTTAGCTCATTAGCCATCAGCCCTAATTTTCATAATTTACATTTAAAGCTGTGTATTGTCCTCTAAAGAATGTTTTAGCTTGTTGAGGCAAATGATATTTATTGAGCTGAGGACTAGCCTAGAAGTACTCTCTTCGGAAGACAGCACTCCAGGGAAGCGTGGTTTACAGCATGATTATATACCATTTCAGAGCAAAGAACATACATAAAGCATGACAGGAGTACAATTTCCCCCCCCAAAGTCACAAGGAGATGTTTTGCCAAAGTTTAGCGCATACAGAGTAGGTCAACTTGATCTTAGTTTTCTGGGAAGAAAAGCTTATCTTCAAAGAAGTTCTGGTATTGGCATCAGAAAGAGGGAGACATTACATCCCTATCTTTAAAGAGTGCGTTTTTTGCTTTGGGAAAATGGTTGAAGCAGACGTACAATGCATGTTCGGTGGGCCATAAGTCAGGCTGCTCTGGGAAAAACAAGTTTTATGCTGAATCAGATTTAAAGCAGAATCGCTTCCCCATACACCTCAATGTGTGAAAACTTCTTATTATTCTTATTTTTTCCATCAAGCTGCACCTTATGAAGTATATGTAGTATTTTCAGTTTTGTTTGATTCAGAATATTTTCTAATTTCCATTTTCATGTGTGCTTTGATACAAGGATTGATCCAGATCCAGATTCCAGATCCATGAGATTTTGTTCTTATGTTTTATAACTGAATTCTAGATACCAGTTGATTTTCTTGAAATGTTATTTGTGGGCACCTCTACAGCCCTAGGATGAACATACTCTCCTCTGACAGGCTCTTGGGGTTCGTTACCATTTGGGGAACACTACACTAAGTTAGTGTCTTAAGGTTTCCCAGACTACTCAGGCTATGTGTACTCAAGGCTAAATCCACTAGAGGTCATGTCTGTGGCCACAATTTCTCATGGACTTTTTAAACTTTCCGTTTCCTTATACTGTTTGTATTGCCAAGTTGCCATCTCCAAAGAGTCCTGGGATTTGAAGGGGCAGGACTAGATCAGATCACCCTTACCCCTGAGGGCTTAGGACTTTGGGGTCCCACCTTAATGTGGTGAGGATCTCCTATAAGACTTCGCAAGTTAGCTTGGGACTAAAACTCAGCATCTGTGTTCCTGGTATTCAAGGATCCTGAACAGATGATGAAATAAGTGATCTTCACAATCTACCTCAGAGTGTAAGAAGCTTTGATGCCTCTGTTTTTGTTTTTTGCACTGGCACATGCAAATATTAGTGGCAAGGTTCCCATATACCTTTAGTCTATATTTTTAAAGCTACCAATCAAGCTTAGGGGAAAAAAACCTCTTAAATTGAAATAGATTGTATTCTCTTACTTTGAAAACGGTACCTTTATAATCATTTGGATGGCAAGGATGAATTTAGAATTCCTGGACTTCTTGGAGTGACACACCAGAGAAATGAAGCATGGAGAGAACATCTCTTTAAGCTTGCCCTCTGGCCTGCTGGAACCAGGTTGTGTTCTGCACCTCCAACATATCCATGCTTTATCCACTAGATCGCTCTGAAAAGCAGCCTCTTGATGCCACACTGCCCACAAGCCCTAGGTCTGAGTACAAAAAAAGGGTACATTTTCCCCTCAGTTTGATAATGCAAGGAAGAAAGATCCAGAAACCTTACACATGGGCTAAAAGACACTTGGGTAAGGGGTTCTGGGATTCTTTGTACAATGGACAGGCCTATGGGGGAGGGAGGACATGGGCTTCATGTGGGATTGTTCTCTTGGCTCCGCATAATCCTTGCCTAATGGAAGAAGGCATTGCCAGAAGAGGGCCAGAGTGGGGCACAAAGCAGATCTCTTCTTCCCTGGCTCCAAGCACAATATTGGGTAGATCAGCATGTGAACAATGGAAGCACTAACATTTCCCAAGCAACAGTGATGTACTTACATTGTGTTGCCAACCATTTTATTAGGAAGTTGTGACCTAAGAACAGAAGAAAACAGACAAAGAAAATAGAATAGAGAGAAAAAAAATGTCTCAGTTTCAGCTAATCCAGGATATTGTGCCAATTGTCCAGAATCTTTGAACTGAGATGGTAACAAGCTAAGGAAATTTGCCCTCGAGGGTTTGATTGTTGGCAAAATTTTGTTAAAGGTATTTAACATTGATAGGTTGGCTACAGGATGGATAAGAGGACAGTATTTATCCCACAGAATTGCCAAGAATATATGTGTAATATATCTCTGCAGTACAGAATATTCTCTTGCAGTACTATTTTTAATAATAAAATAGCCCAACCAATTTATTACTCAAAGATTGTGTAATGTTTAAATGTGTATTAATATATTCAGACAAGAAAGTGCAATTGTTAAAAAAGAGTTAGACAATCTGATGATTCAGATGACATTACTGATAAAAATAATAAATCACAATTATTGAGCATTTGTGACACCTTACATACATTTCCTTATTTGAAGTTCAGCACAACCCATGGAAATGTGTAATCTGTGGTGGAAAGTGAGAGGTTCTGAGGTGCAAGAGGAAGATAGGCACTCAAGGGACACCAGAAAGAAGACCAGGAGGAGGATGAGAAGGAGGAGGAGGAGACCTCAGCCAAGTGAGATGTCCAAAGCAGCTGGATAACCCTGGCAGAGAGAGGGCGCTCTTGCTCCACAAGCCTTTCTGCCACCACAGACGTTCAGGCCGCCTTCTGGGAAGACGCACCCTCTTTCTTCTTGCCTCAAATGAGGTGCTGAAGAGTACATCTTAGATCATTTCTCCTCTCTCCAAGGCCCTTCAAGGGAAGGATGGACTGACAGAAGCGTCGCTCCGAAGTGGTCCAGTGAGCAGAGTTCGAGCTTCTGCTGGAGCATTTCCCAGGTGTCTCTTCTAAGAGCAAACCCCACAGGATATTGCTGCTGGTCCCTGAGGAGCAATGAGAGAGAAGCCAGCTTGGCCAGCAACATGGGCCTCGTGCAACACAGGCCCCTCGTGGAGGAGCAAGGATTCCAGGCCCTTGAGCCAGGCCCCTCAATGGGCTGAGGGAAGAGGACCAGCTGGGGAACCGGTTGCCTCTACCGCCGTGGGTTCTCTCTCCTCCTGTTGCTCGAGAACATGGATCCAACTACCTCCCCAAGCACTTGAGAGGCGGGCCGGTCATTTTTGTGGGCTGGGGGGCCTCACTGTCCCTGAGAACCTACCTGGGGTGGAAGAGAAGGAGGGAGAGGAGAAGCCGGATGAGAGATGAGAAGTGGCTGGCTAGTCCAGGCAGGGAGAGGGTGTGCTGGGCCCAGGAGCTTCCATGAGAAGCCAGGCCTCGGTCCTCCTTGTTCCAGGAAGGGGTGCCTCCTTCCATCCTGTCCCCAAAGAGACTGTGGAGATGCCTTCTCAACCCATGGGAATGAGCCTGAAGGATCTTCCCTGCCCTACACCACTTGGCCTGGAGAGCAAAGAGCCCCACTCCGTGGCGGCAATGGTGCGCAGACATGGAGAGCCAGGACTTTCTGCCAAGAACCAAACTTGACATGTAAAGACAAAGATCTCAGTGAGGCTTGGTGAGGCTCAGTAGGAGTACCATGCAGGCGTTCTCCATGTCCCAAGGAGAGTTGGAAACAACACTCAAGTCTGTGGTGAGCTAGGGCATGTGAGGGGAGAGCGTGAGCACAGTTCCCCACTAACACAAATTCTGGAGTCGAGTTTCCCACGTGTGGGGAAAGTGCAGGGGTCAATGGAGAAGCCTCACCCTGAGTAACCCACCAATGGCAATCAAGGTATCTCCCCTGCCAGGTAAGTAGGAGCTCATGCCCCGCAAGCACAGTGCAGCGCATTATCTCTCCAGCGTTCCTTCAGGGTCGTGTCCTCCCCCCCCCCGCTGTTCCTCCAAACCGCTCTCTGCAGAGGAATTCAAGTGATGTCCCCCACGCCACACACACAGAGAATCCATGCTCGGGGCCCACTAGACTGACTGCCTTCAGCAGCAGCTCCAGACCGACTGACCCACCGACCTACCGGCAGCCGCTACGCTGTGTCATCTCCATACTCCAAGCTCCACCTGCTGCCTCTGTAGCTGGGTCCACATCACCGCCAGGCTCTCGCTCTCCTTTTGCCTTACACTGGACACGACATTTATCCCAATAGGCTTTCGGAGCGAGTGTGGAAGGGAAAAGGGAGAACGTGCGCAGTGTCTGGTGGAGTCTACACAGTTTAAATGCAACAGCCGTTGTAGAAGTTGTGGGATTTGACTGTGGTACCATTGTTTTGACATTCTGGCGCCGATTTTGACCCCTGCGTTCTGCTTACGGCAGCAGCGACAGTTTTCCCTTTTGTGCATACTTCACGTGCTGCCTTTGTTGGGTGAGTGAATACCAGCTCCCTCCACCGTTTGATCTACAAACGGGACAGCCCTCGCCTTCCCCACAACCCTCGTGGGTATCGCCTCCAGCCACCTCTTTCCGAAGGCCTTGTAAGCGTTTTACCTGCGAACTGGGTTGGGGAGGCTCAGGCAACCGGCCCATTTGCGGGGTCCGAACCAACAGCCCGGCTCGGCTCGGCCTCGTCTCCGTTACAGAGAACTCAGCCTGATCCGCGTCGCTGGGGCAGCAAGGAGCGCGGGCTCAGGTGCAGCCCCGCGGGGATTTGACCCTCTGCAGGCTGTGTAAACCCGAGCAGGTTGCTTAGCAGCCCTGTGAAGCCGCTGCTGCGGGCGGCTGACGTGGAGATGAGCGAGAGCGGTGTGCCCTGAGAAGCGGCCCGCCATTGCCTCCCTTCCCAGAGCTAGCTCCTCGGTGGGAGTGGAAGACTCGATGCGAGGAGCTCAGGGCACCACACGTCAGCAGTTGAGAGGAAGATTCGTGCGTGGGGACAGAAGACAGATGGCGCAAAATGATTCCCTGGCCGGGAATCGAACCCGGGCCGCGGCGGTGAAAGCGCCGAATCCTAGCCACTAGACCACCAGGGAACTGAACGCTTTCGCTTCTTTTCCTCACTTCTGACGAGTGACATTTTTATCTGCGCTCGGGGAGGCCTTGGGCCTCTGGGAGGGGTCACCCGTTTTACCAGAAATTCTTTCGTAAAGCCATTCCCTCTCTGTTTTCTCCAAAAAAGGAGCTCATGGGCGACGCACCGGGCGCCCCCGAGGCCGCCAGGTCCACCAGTCCCGGAGCGAGCTGCCTCGTCCAGGCGGCACCTCAGAACTGCCTCTGGAGACCCGAGGGAAGGTCGCCAGAGCCGGGGAGTGGACGAGGTTGGCGGGGAGGAGGTGGGAGGGCAGGCGCCCAGGGTGAGAAGGGGCCGAGCACCGAGACCCCGGCATCTCCGGCCTCCGAAAGGACTCAGGTGGATGCAGGGAGGGAGACAGACGACTGGAGGGAAAACGCTTTCGAGCAAGTCTCCTTTCAAGACGGCCCTCAGCTGCATTCCGGATCTTCCCGCTGCAACCTGCTGCACCCGCAGTTTTCCCACCTTAGTTGATGCCAGCTCGGCCCTTCCATACGCTCAGGCCAAAAAACTAGGCGTTCTCTCCGTCGCTGGAGTTTCCCTCAGACCCCACATCCAATCAGTCAGGAATTCGCGTTTTCTCGTCTGTCAGGTGTGGGACGTCGATCTACACCGGGTTCTCTCAACCTCGGCAGTGTTGATAAGTAGGGTCGGATCATTTTTTGTGCGGGAGGGCTCCCCCCGTGGACTGCAGGATGTTTAGTGACATCCCTGGTTTGATAATTAGATGGCAGGGGAAAACCCTCCGTCTCTCCTGCCCCCAAGCGTGGCCATCAAAAATCTCCAGACAAGGCCTAGTGTCACACTAGGGGGCTGGGGGCTCGGGACCGGGGGCCCAAATCGCCCTGGGGTGAGAACCAGCGATGTGCACAGTCGCTCCTGTTCCTGGTCTCTGATCAGGAGACCAGGAGATCAGATCAGGAACAAGAGAGTGCAGACGACTCTCTTGATCAGGGTGCAGGGGCCGATTCAACTCTCGGCCCTGGCTCAATTGGACGTTAGGAATTGAGACTTCCATTTCGAGATCGCGGGGTTTCTGTCGGTAGGCCTTTTCTTTGGTTCTGTCCAACGAAATCAGCCTCTTTTGAGCCTGTCTACGAGGGCCGGGCAGGCAGAGGGCTGGTTCCGCTCCGTGAGGTTCCTCTTGCCCCTTCTGGAACTTCACACCTCTTTCGGTTCAGCCTGCAGAGAAGCTTTAGGGGTCACTTTATTTGGCTTCTCCCGGCATCCCCGAGGAGCAGGTGCGCGGTTCCACCGGGAAGAATGAGGTTTGATTGTGGCGCCCCACCCGCGGTGCCCGTCCTCCACCCCCACACGCAGCTTTCCGGGCTCCCCGCCCCGCCCCCCCACCCCCGGTCCCGCCCGCCGGGGCTTACGCCCTGGGAGACGACCAGGCCCGGAGGGACACCTAGGGGAAACCAGGTGCCCACTTCAGTTCTGTAGAGGGAGCCAGAAAGGGTGCTGACCGGAGAGAAAGGCGGTGGAGCCTCTCTTATTGCGTAGGCGGAGGAGGGACTAAAGGGAAGAGAAGAAAAATCCTACGAGGTTTCGGAATCTACAGTTACCGAGAAGCCGACCTCCTCCGGAACCGCGGTCCCCCGTGACTGCTGACGGTGAGTGGAGTCCCGTCTCCAGCTTGCCAAAGTAGTCAAAGCGGACGACTATAGCCCGGTACCGGTGAGGAGGCAATCCCCAGTCCGCCCACTCGCTCCTAGTACTTGAACTTCCCTACCCAAGATTTCTGTGGATGCAACTGAGTACTTTTTTATTTTCCCAATTGCTCTCATTTGAAGAAAGGATCCATCCAGCGTGAAGCATGTGCAAAAACCTCTGCAGTAAGGAAAGCAACTAGTGTTGAGAGCGTCACATTCCTCTCTCACCCCCTTAATTTTAATGGCACTTTCCCAGGTAGAGTCCCCACGTTGGGCCCATTCTACTCTTAATGCACAGCTGGTGGAATCTAAGAGAAGTCTAGTAGGTTCCTGGATGAATATTTGAAACACGGTAGGCATTTTTATTTAAGTGGGCATTCCAAAAACCCACAACAAACATATCAAGCTCATCTGTGTCTTTTCTACAAAGAGGGGGAAGAAGAATTATACATAAACAAATGGAAAAGGTCATAGAATGGCCTTAAGTGTCCGCTGTTTCCACTGAAGTTCCTCTTCCCTGGACACGCTCATCAGTGTCTTCTCTTTCTCTAAAATATGACATCCAGTGCCAGATGCTAAAATCGGTTTTCTGGTTCCAGCCTATTTTTCCCCTCTCTGTATCTCTGCCTCTTCCTCCTCTTCTTTCATAAGCAGAAAAAGTCAGCTCTCCCTCAGCCTCGGATTTGCAACATGGCACTGGAAGATCAGTGTAGCAAGTTGGGGACCCTCGGTGGGACTCTATGACAAAAACAGTATGAAGTGGAGTTCTCTGGTTTGCCCAATCTGGCGGATGAAAATGTTAAGGCACTGCCAAAAGTTCAGAACTAGCAGAAGTAAAACCACTGGGTCACTGAAATAGTAATTAGTAAAAGTTTATTGTGCACAAAAAGACAGTTTGGGAACTGGGAGCACTCAAACCGAATATGGAATGAGGCTCAGAGGTATACCGTTATAAAGCAGCTCACACCGTGAGGAGGCAGTGGCTGTTCATTCTTCACAGTGACTGGTTATAACACAAGCATTTTACTACTTACAGAGTTGGTTAAAAGTGATTACCTTATATCAATTTTGGGGGTCAGTTTAAGTTTCATTTATGATTTTCAGAGGCATTAACAAGAAGTGGCCCTAGTTAAGTTCCACTTGTTTTGCAAAATAATCTAAATTAACTTGTTTGTATGTCTAAACTGGTTTGTCTGCTCAGGAAATTTTCAAGTCTGATCTCGATTTCTGGTTGATTTTAACAATTTTCCCCTTTTGGTCTTGTTCTCAGCCTGCTCCACCGGTTTAATGTTACTCTCAGTTACCAATGTCGATGTCATCAGGCTGAAGAATCACACATTGGTTGTTTCCCCTAGCTGAGTCAGCAGGATTGAGGGTCCTGTAGTCACCATTATCATAATTTATGCAGGTTATTGTCTAGTTCTTCCAGTTGTTTGATCCTGATGGATACCATTTGGCCTGTGAGGGGCTGCCGACAGGCATTTAAAATCCTTGAGAGGATATGCGGCACCAGAGAGGTTAATATGATGACTCTGAGGAGAACAATAGCCAAGGATTGAAAAAGTCCCCAGAGCAAAGATTCCCAGGATCCAAGGTTTAACCAGCTAAACAGGTCTACGGAAGAGGTGTTACCTGATGAAAAATTTTATCTGGTCTTTAAGACCATTTAGATTCTGAGTAACACAGAAGCAACATTTTTCACCACTTGTACCACATAAGCCTCTTTGCTGAGCAGTTAGGGCATCAAGGAAGCTCCTATTTTGGAGTATCACTGAAGATAAACCATTTACTTCAGTTTACTTCTGTTCAGACACAGTAATGGAGAACGTCCCCGTGCCCAGGTTAGCGCGCGGTAGGGTTTCCTTCCCTTCTCCTGACCTCTTCGGACCTGGTGGCCGGTGGAAAGAGCTGCTCTCTGGCACCCAGGTAGGGGGCGCACCCCCGTGTGGGTTTCAACAGAAAGTAAAAGCAAAATACTAGGTATGACCGACAACAGTGCCAAGACTCGGATTCAAACCGAGGTTGCAGGGGCCACAACACAGAGTACCAACCACTATACAATCACGGTGCGCCACAGTACCAGGGACAACCTCCGCTCTTGCCCTATGCATTTTCACGTATCATTTCAATTACATTGCTTAGTTCTTGCACAACTGGAGGAACTCCTATTCTTCTCTCCTCCATGTACACTCTCCGTTTTTCCCTCCCTTCGTTCCTCTCAATTCTGATACATGATAAAAACAAACAAACAAAAAACCCAACCAAATAAAAAAACAATTCTCATCTCCCCAAATCCGGCCCGAGCCTTTGCATAGGCCTCCTGGGAAGTCACATTGTCTTGGTCCACGCTTCCCCCTTTTCTTTCCCTCCTCTTCCCGTTTTCTCCTTTCCACAACCCCCACCCTCTCTTTCCGGCTCCCTCCCCCCACCGACCGCAGCCAAGCCGAGTGGAGTGAGGGGAGCGCCAGCGGCGCAAACAGTTGGGTGAAGGCGGATCAAAGGGGAAGAGCCATCACCGGAGCCCATGGGACGCTCAGCTTCCCTTGGGCCCCACCCGGCTCAGGCCCGGGGGGTCGCGGCCCCAGGCGTCTCCGCCGCGCTGGCATCTGAGGCAGGTGTGGAGCAAGGCGGGGCCTTCGGAATCACCCAACGCACGGGTTTCCAAGGCGATGGACACGGTGAGTCGACTCCACCTGGCCGGTTTTCCGAAGCTCTGGAGCCTGCGCCGCTGTCCTGCAAAGGCGGGTGGCTCCGCCTAGCGCTGGAGAAGCGCTTGCTCTCTGGGGGGGCGAGAATAGGGCTCCTGCGGGTCTCTGTGGCGCAATCGGTTAGCGCGTTCGGCTGTTAACCGAAAGGTTGGTGGTTCGAGCCCACCCAGGGACGATTCTTGTCTTTTTGGATTATAGAAGTGTTTGCAATTGTTGCTACTCTGCACATCCTCTCATGTAAAGGCGGAGAGAGGCCTCCTCCACTAACACCCTCCTGTTCTCTGTGTCTTGTGCACAAAAGGGGGACCTAAGTCAAGATCATAAATAAGATCACCACGGATCCTCGCAGAGAGCTTGGGAGGAAAACAGGTCTCTGGGAATACGGAAATCTTTATGAGAGTAGATACATCGTCGTTCTTCTGAATTCTTTTTAACGATGGAGTTTCTTCCATCATTTGGACTAGTATTTATTTAACCCTTTCCATATACTTTTTAAATTGAGTTGGTTCTATGACTTTATGGTTACAAACAATGCTGTAGTCAGCACTCCTGTACACATATCTTTGGCCACTTGTGCTAGTATTTCTATAGGGTAGAGTCCT